CTGCTGTGAGGGAGGGCTGTCCCCGGTGTGAGGGCGCGCGGTCCCTGGTCCGAGGGGGGTGTTCCCGCTGTGAGGGAGGGTCTGTCCGCACTGTGATGAGGGTCTGTCGCTCATCACAGTGTGGTGGGAGGGTGTCCCCACAGCGATGGGGGGCTGTCCCCGGTGTGATGGGAGGGCTGTCTCCGCTGCGAGGGGGGGTCTGTAGCCGGTGTGAGGAGCTTCTGCCCCGCTGTGATGAGGATCTGTCCCCATTGTGAGGGAGGGTCTGTCCCCGGTGTGAGGGGGGTCTGTCCCCATTGTGAGGGAGGGTCTGCCCCGGTGTGAGGGGGGTCTGTCCCTGGTGTGAAGGGGGTCTTTTCCCACTGTGAGGGGGGTCTGTCCCCGCTGTGAAGGGGGTCTTTTCCCACTGTGAGGGGGTCTGTCCCGGCAGGGCTGGGAGGCAGCAGCTGCTCCGCACCCACCCGTGCACAAGCGCCCTGTGGCCCTCCGGACTCACAGCATCCAGAGCAGAATTTTATATATAGAGAGAAATATATCTATAATACCCAGACCATATTAAAAGTGCTTCTCAGGTTCTCAACTGCTAAATTAGTGCATCAGGAATCAGACCAACATCTGCTTCTGCCGGTTCCTGCTGGTTTCTGCGGCGCCCTGGCAGGACCAAGGCACAAGAAGGGCTGGACTTTGCTGCACAGACTTTTCAGAAAGGAGGAGGAATTACCCAGGTGTAAAACCCCACGCAGGTGATTTCGTGTGCCACGCTGATTGTGGAGCTCCAGTTTAGGCAAAATGTTTTAATACACAGAATGTATTGATGAAGGTGATAGGATTTCTCCTCCTAAGCGTTTATTTTTCTGTTGTCCTCAGTGAGTAGAGGGAAATACTAATAAAAATGCTGTTCTAGTGAAGGATCATTAAACAGCAAAGGTGTTCGTTGTGAAACTGCTCTCATTGAAAGAGTAGAAAAGGAGATGTTGTTCTCCCTTTCTTTCACTGCCATGTTCATAACATCAGAATATTCGCCCTTTAAGTTCAAGGTTCATGTTTGTGGTGTATTCTCTCACTTTATGTTTTTAAAGGGCAACACTGAAGAGCCTCATCCATACCAATGTATTCTGCCTGCAGAATATTGCAGACAGATTTAGAACTGAGCTAATGGATCTGGGAAAAGGGGATTTAAGTTACCTTTCCTTCCCATCCTCCTCTTTTCAATCTCTTGATTGTGTTTGCCTAGAATATTCTCATTTCACTTTTTTTTTTTCCCCTCATGCAAATCTATCATGTGTCATAGTACAAAGCAAATTATCTTGTCAAATTACCCGTTGCTTTAATTTACTGCCAGACTGGGACCAGTTAATTCACTGGAAGGCTTGACCTTGACTTATGGTGCTGATTCCTCAGAAAGAACTGGAGGGAGGGAGGGGAGTTCTCTGTGCCATTGCATATACCAGCAAGGTGTAGAGCACATACCCAGCAAGGTTTTGTCCTATTACTGTATGTAATCAACTGGATAAATGTTTAGGTGTGTTATTTAATACTTTGGGGAATTGTGGGTTAAATACTTATTTTTCTGTAGAAAACATATTAATTACATTTTATACCACTACACAAGAAAGTTCCAGGAGAAAAATGCCAAAGACAGTGTGGTAAAAGGAACAAGATTTGAAGAACACAATTTAAAAATTAAATAAATGAATGTTTCTGGAAAACAAATCCTTTCTTTAGAATAACTCACACCAAGTGCTCCACATGTGAAGGGATCTTGTGACTCCTCCTCCTCAGGAACAACAATCCTTTGGAGCAGCTTCATCCTGGTTTCCTATTGTTGTTTTCACTGCTGAGATACCACCAAGTTTCGTGTCTGTGATGTTCCTCCTGGACCACAGACCTGTGAGTGTGGGAAGTCCAGCCAGTAAAATGCCAAAGTGATGCCAGGACCTGGAGCAATTAATGCATCAGCACTTAGAGAGAAGTGCCATCAGAACAAGTGTGCTCACAGTTACGGCCTAAACGGCAAAGCAGAGTGCAGCTGGATCCCGTGGGATCAACCCCTGGATGATCAGCAGGCTCCACCTGCTGGGCTGCCTGTGCTGGAATATTGAAACTACATCTCCAAACCGTAAGAACACGCCCAGAGCAGCTCCCGCGGGTTACACCTGAGTCGGAGACATCCAGACTCTGGGAGCGCTCTGGCTGTTTGCCTGGTGTCTGGGAGCAGGTTGGAATTCTGTCCCTTGCACGCTGCTACACGAGTTTATTTCTTCCAAATTATAATTTTGGCCTCCTCAGTCACCAGGCAGTGGTTTGGGCCCTCTCTGTATGTGATGTGCAGGAGGAATTCCTGGCTGGAGGGAGCATTATGGATATGTGTGTCCCCGAGGGCAGAGTCTGTCCCTCCTGCCAGCCAGGATAAAGATGAGGTATAAAGGCTGGAGCAGCACTGCTCCCTCCTGGTAACTCCTGCAGCAATCCCACACGGAGTAAGGAAAGCCTGGGGCTGCAGCTGGTCAGGGGAACATTTACAAAAAGCAAAGAGGGGCTTGTTGGTTCATACACCCAGTCTCTTGGCTGCCTGAGGAGACGAAGTCTTGTAAAGATGCAGTGTCATTATTGTATTTTATATTGAGAAAAAATATAGAAAAAATACTGTCACAGCTTGTCAGTGCAGAGCTCCAGGGCTGAGAGCTGAGGTCAATTCCCAACAGAGCTGGTCACAAACTGAGATACAACGTCAGGCACTGCCGGGGAAGGCATAGAAGGAGCACGGGAAGGAGGGAACACAGCTGAGGGGTGGGGAATGGCTGGTGTTGCGGTGAGAACGCCCAGGCTGCGCTTCAGCTCATCCTACAGCCATGGAATAACTCAGATTGGAAGGGTCCTCCCCAGGCTACCGGGTCTATTGTCTTGCTTGGAGTAAAATTCCTCCTGAACTCCACCCGGGGTGCTCAGGGCCTCGGGTGCTGAGAACTTCCACGTTTCCGAGGCGTATTTGTGGCGTTGGTGGTTGGGTCTGGGGTTTGGTTGGGCCTGAGGTTTTGCCAAGTCAGGGCATCCCAATTTCAGCGCGTTCCTACTGCAATTCTTCTGCTTTCACTCGTTTGATGGGAGAGTTTTCTACCAAAGAGTCCTCCAAAGCTGGGAGGGGCCCGGGGGCTGCCCTAGGCCACCCATCCTCCCCTCTGACCCAGCGGTCAGTCCCGGTC